GTGCTGTCATCAGGGGATGTGGGCTTTCTCAGACTTCTCTTTGTCTCTAAATATATTTGTAGAAAATACATAACATTTTTCCTCTTGTCGGTGTTTTAGAAAACAAATGGTGTCAAACTATGGATCTATACTTCCTTATTTTTGCTGAGTGATATGTATACACACACACAGACCCTACATATCTATATGGGATATTCTTATGCCCAGACAAACAGATCTTTCTCATACCACTTGTGGCATGGGGTTTAATGGTGAAAATGTCTCCGTTTGGCAATTTCCCTGACAACAGGAATTTACATTTTTCAGCACTTCCCTTCTTGTTGCTATTACAAATAATGGTATAGTGAATATCCTTACACGTATCTCTAGGGACATATTTGGGTATTTTTCTTTCTTTTTATTTTTTTGCAGCTTTTGGCCGGGGCTGGTTTTGAACCCGCCACCTCCGGCATAGGCGTCGGCGCCCTACTCCCTTGCACCACAGGCACCGCCCTATTTGGTTATTTTTCAAGGAGAGCTAATTGGAAAATGAAGCTGCTGGGTCAGATGACGTCTTAGTCTGTTTTCTGTTGCTGTGACAGAATCCCACTGACTAAATAATTGATAAAAGAAAAGAAGTGTATTTGGCTCACAGTTCTGGAGACTGGGAGGTCTAAGCAGCCTGCTGTTATCTGGTAAGGGTCATCTCATGGCAGGAGGCAAAATGACAAGGAGGGGGACTTCACTTTTGTGACAAAGCCACTTTGGTGGTATTTAATCTACTCCTGTGACAATGGCAGTGATCCATTCATGAAGGCTTTGCTCTGATGACCCACTTACCTCAAAAGACCCTGCCTCCCAATCATTACACTGGCAATTAAATGTTCAGCACATGTACTTTTGGGGACATATTCACACTACAGCTGACGGTATTTGCATTTAAAATTTTAATAGGTACTGCCAAATTGGTAAGTTGTCTAAAGGATGTACCCACTTTATTCACTTGATTTTACCAAACATCATGTTTTTTTCCCAATATGATTATAAAAAGTGGTATGTCTTTGTTTTAATTTGCATTTCCCTGGTCTGATTATTACGGAGATTCAATGTCTTTTCTTTTCTTTTTTGCCATTTATATTTCTCTAATAGAAATTCCCAATTTATATGTACACTCACTTTTAATGATATGTTTCTGATTTTTTAAATTAATTTGTAGACGTTTAAAAATATTCTATATCCTAATCCTTCAATACCTATGGAATAATTTTTTGAGCTCTTATTTAGTTATCTGTATCTATATATTATTTATATGACTGGGATAATGCTGTATGTATAATTTTATATGTTGTCTTTTTCCACTACAAATTGTATAATACCTTCCTGTTCCATTAAAACGTCTCCAAAAACTGGCTCGGCACCTGTAGCTCAAGTGGATAAGGCACCTGCCACACACACCAGAGCTGG